TTATTATTATTGCTGTACATAACAGTACTAAACAGACTTATAATTTATTCTAATTGTAGAAAATAACTAGTAAATATGATCCGACCCACCAAATGACAAATATAARCAACAAAGACTTAATTGAGTTTATTTAGTAATGTGCGCACATATGATACATACACTAAAAAATGCTTGGATGGGGCAATAAAGTGTAAACACTTATTTCCATTCTAGTCCAATWTAGGGCTGCCACAAAYGAYTATTTTTATAATCGATTAATCACCGATTATTATWTTTTTCGATTAGTCGACTAATCAGATCATACGTTAACTGAATATAAAACATACATCTTATATAACCATTGTCAGATTTTAGCTATATGCTAACTAAAAATAATTGCTGTGGAAGGCAAGTTCTGCTCTGCAGATATTGCACAGGTTTCTCTTTCATTTTCTTCAAAAGATCCCACACTTTTCAGCTCCATTGCCAGGTAGCCATGATACCAGAGCCTGTCTGTATGTCTTGTGACGTCCACGGCCTACCCCAGTTACCACTACTGTGCATGTGTGTCAAGGACAGAAAGGCAGATGTGGCAGTGGAAGGTGTCAAAGCAGTTCGGAGAGAAAAACAAAGTAAAAAAACAACAACAAAAAAAAGAAAACAATTAATCGATTATTAGATTAGTCGATTATTTTAATAATCGATTAGTCGTCGACTAATCGTGGCAGCCCTAGTCCAATATAATAGGGAGGAAAAGGGGAAGTACTTGAAAAGTGTGGTTCTTGAGAAGCAACTCACTGCTTATCATATTGTTGGGACCTCCAGGCCACAAGAGCCCCCGGTTCACTATCCTGCCATGTTTACATGCTTGTGTTTGTGCAAATGAGAAAAATCCTGAGTGTGTGGATGTTTAAAGAAGGTAAGGATACTGTAGGTAGTAATTATCATTACTATACATCCAACCACTAACTCCTGTATCAGGTTTCACATTATAATCACTGTCGTCGGCCTGAAAAGCAACAACTCCTGAAACAGTCAGAAATTGGCTAATGGACTGGGGCCCACTGGAAACAGTTTCTGGGTCTCTGGAGATGCCGAGACGTCGATTTCTCGTCGTAAACACTCGTCCATCTGCCTCTCGCTTCTCAGTTGTCACGACTCCTTTGTTGAAGCTTCCTCAGCCGGCCCAAAGGGGAAGCTCAAATTCTACAACCGGTGCCGTCTCGGGCCTCCRACACCTATCAGGTGACAACATATTTGTTCTTTGGTGAGACCAGGAAGACAAGTGTGAACGCTCGCTGACAAGATCAGACACATTTTCAAAGATCAAACAAGAAAATTTGGGYTAATCAAGGCCATTTCGAGATACAGCTGCCTACTCTAATTTGTCACAAACTCRTGATACATTTTGGTTATTGCTTTTGAAATCACGGTATTGTGGACTGAAAATAGATTGAGCCATTTTTAAAAAGCACCTTTTGGATCTGTATAAATACACCGTAACTAACTGTTGCAACTACTTTGGAATTATTCCTGCGGTAGATTCAGATTCCTATGTGTTGATAGGTAAAATAATAATAATAAAAGAAAAAAAGACATTGCCCCAGTCAGTGTAATTACAGGTGTTTGTGTGTGGTGTGCTTAAGGCGCYCTCTTGTGGTCGTTGTGTGCACCTACTCCCAAAATACTAGTTTGTGTTTTATTTTTTAATACTAAATGCAGAATAATGTAACTGATGTTCAAATTATCAGCATACCATGTTTTGGCAAATGTAGCAGATTTTAATAGGTTGCATCAAGCATAGTTACTAAATATATTTAATTCAGGGAACAAGTCGATTTGCAGCAATTCGAAAATGCAGCTTCATATAAATGTTATCATAACATTATTATTTTTATCAATCTTGCTCAGTAAACAACATCACATATTTTGCTGTAAAATATACAGCAAAATATGTGTTACCACATTAATCTAAAACAAAAACAAAAGTGTTCAATTTAAATAAAAGAAGCACTTGTTAGAAAATTAAGTAACAAGACTCTTTAGGTAATCCTTTGACTAAAGTCTAGATTTCCGGATTTAACTTTGAAGGATTCGTTTGCCTGTGAAAGGTGTATTAAACATTCTAGCTAAAAAGCTACCAGGAGTGGGGTTCGAACCCACGCGGACATATGTCCATTGGATCTTAAGTCCAACGCCTTAACCACTCGGCCATCCTGGTATATACACTATAAAYGTCACAATATCCGGTCTAAAAAACGGGGAAACAAGCGATGTCTGTGAAGCTTTTTACATTTTTATTTACCACATGTTAAAAGAAAAATCTCATAATCATTACTTATGTATGTATAGCATTAGCAGCTAGCAGCAAACTCACCAGACTAGCAATCTCGCTAGTCGATAACTTCGTAAAAAAAAAAAAAAAACGGCACAATTTTTAACTACCGCGTTGATAAATCCACTGCTAAATAACACGGTTTCTCAAAACACTCGCCACAATATTTGCATTATACTTGAAAATAACGCTGTCTATTGACGTTAGCATGTGCTAACTGTTAGCAGAAGTTCTAGCTTTACTAAGCGTTTACAACGGAGTACTAATATAGCCACGAAAACCGCTACAAATAGACGGGAAACGCAAACAAACAAAAAAAATGCAAGCAAAAGCTATCACGGGGTCATTAGTGAGCGTGCCCAGTCACAAACAACAAGTGAACGCTCGGAGGTTATAAACTAAATACGGCTATTTTCTATTTCTGCCTACACATGACTCATATTACCTGGTCAAGCCARTCTAATCACACAAACCTTATGGGGCAGTACTTCGGCTTTGCGCTCTTTCTACAAAGTTTCACCAACAGATTGCGCATAAATCACGAGGCTGAAAATTGTAGTAATAAAGTAAATATACTTGAGTTTGAGAATTTGTATTCGAATAGCATTTTTATTGAAAACTGTTTAGTTTTACTCCACTACATCATACTTTTTACTCCACTGCATTTCAAGCAGAGGTGCCCAAGGTGTGGCCCACGGGCCAAAATTGACCCACCGAGCCATTTGATTTGGCCCACCAGCAGTTGTCCTGGTTACTACATTGTAATCATGTTGAAGTGTATCTTAACCCAGTGTTTCCTAAAGTTGGGGTCGGGACCCAAAGTGGGTTCCTGAAACATCAAGGTGGGGTCCTGAAAAGATTTTTTGAATTAATTAATTTTTAATTATTAATTTTTGCCTTAGTTGTTACAAAGGAGTGAGGTTAGTGTATTTAAAATGGATAAATGTAGTATAAAAAATATTGTTAC